GTTCTTGTCTACTACACTAATGCCAGTTTCTATGTACTACCTGTCTAAATAACTCTCTACTAATAGGCCCTTGAATTACAGTACATGCTGAATTATTCATGCTTAACTGATGGATGCCTGTGGATCTATCTGTACTATTTGAAGGACCCATTGCCTCTGTTTTGTTAGAGTATTATAATTAGCAGTATTATAAAGCACACACAACATATGTGTTTGGGTAGAATGTTTCAGTACAACACTTCTTCACCCAAAAATACATTTATTCCATTTCTGGAGTTCCTGTTTAATTTTGTCGATTAGTAATAAATAGTCCAAATCATCAAGATGTCTCTGAATTGGGAAAGGCTTTCTGCTATGCTAGTGGAAAAAATATTCTGTTCATGGGAGGCTATTCCTGATTTGGCATCATGTGAGAAGGGTAACTTTGTGTAAGCTCTTCTCAAGACTATGTTATGGCCCATTAGTGTTTATATGCTACAGCTTGTTATCTTCCTTACGTTGCTTTGAATCAAGACCATGTATGTATAAGATTTTTATCTTGTTATATTACACGTAAGTTCAAGCCAGTTTAGAATAGAAGAGTGATACAGAAAAGATAAAGACCAGTAATGAAGGGTTGGGGTGTGGGGGGTGGACAAGCAAAGAAAAGGATAGTGTGGATAAAACATCAGGATATAAGATGGTGGAAAGAAAAGTGGTGGTGAACTAGATAAACTTTGCCTGAGATTTGGAAGATGGTAGTGCATGGGCAAGGCATACATTTTTAGGGAGGGAGTTCCATTATTTAGGTGCTACCCCCAAAAAGGCCCTCTTTTTGGTAGCCAGCTGCATAGCCTCAGAAGATAGGGCACCTGGACAAGGGCTTCTGAAGCAGATCTTAACAGCTGGACAGGTTCATGTGAAAAAAGGCAATCCTTTAGAATCCTGAGCCCCAGGCCATTGTGGGCTTAGAAGTTTAAAAATACTTTTTTCAATTGAACCCAGAAATAAGCTTGTACCAAATGTAACACATTTAATACTGGTTCAGTATATTTTCCAGTGTTTCTGGTGTCAGTACTTTAGTTTATCTGGGCAGTGAGTGGACTGATATGTTTATAGCTATACATTATAAATTACGGAGTTCAGAGTAATGAATATAGATTAGACCAGAGAATCCTTGCTGATGATTGACATTTTCTTATTGAGGTGATGATTATCTACAAGAAATGTTAACTGTTGTTAGTGACATCCCTGTAGGTAGTCTTTTAATAACCCTTCTGAATTAGGGATATTAAACTTGTGTTTTATATCCATTTCACAATTATTGAGTATCTAATTATATCCCTATAGGCTGTACAGGTGATTGATGATGAATCTGTAGTGCCTACAGTCACAGAAAAATAATAAATACATGCAAAGCCAAGCATAATTGTTTTTGATATTTGGAGAAAGGTTATGTTCTGCATAGATAAATTTCATACAGGTCTTTCCATGCTTTGGATTATTAGTAGCCACAGTGCAGAAAAGCCTTTCTCAAACTGGTATTTTATTCCAACTTCCAGCCTCTGGGAGTTACAGTTCAACACATCTGGGGAGCACCAGGTGGGGAAGAACATCCTTCTCTGTGGTTTTTGTTGCAGTGGAGTTAGGAGAGCTGTGGCAATTAAGATTGGTAGGAAGAGGAGCAGATCATTTGCTGTCAGGTTGGGAACTTAGAATTAACGAAAGGGTCATGGAATAGCTGGATCAAACTTATATTCATAATAATCAGGTGCTCTGGCATTCTTAAAATGTGTGTCAACAAATGATGACCTCATGGGTTATACAATCCAGAGTTTACCACCCCACAACAAGCCATGGGAATTCTTCTGTGGTTTTTTGTGCTTGAGAAGCAATGGTTTGTTACCATGGTTGCATATGCATGTTGTAATCATCCAGAATTCATCCATTCATAGATTAAATAAACCATTGGGTTGGGGTTAGGGAGGAAAGGGGGAGAAAGTCCCATTGTGCTTTTGGACTTTCACTAATGCAGCATTAGACTTAACCTTTTATGACTTTACCATTTGCAAGAACTTTACATCTGAACCTCTTTTGCTCTAGTAATAATGGTGTATTATAATTTTTACAAGAAAATTAATACATTACAGGGTATGTTTCTTGCAGACACTGTTTGAATGCTAAAGTTCTATGGTATATTTCAGGTACATGCTTCAATTATCTGTGTGCACATAGGTTGTTCTCTCCAAACATAAGACTTTCCAGGAATATAGTTGGTTTAGTATGGTGCATTGCAGCTGTGTGGATCCTAAGCATAAGAGATCACGCAGTCAGTTAGCTACTTTTGTTTGCTTTCAAACAAAAGTAATGAGTTAAATTATTTTCAGTGTAATATTCTGAGTTAACCCTTCATAATTACTTCTATGCTCCACGACATTTATTTCAATAAGTGATGGCAGTTTTCTTTTATTCCAGTTCATGAAGGCAGTCCACTTGGGGAACTTCACCGCTGCGTCCGTGATGGTGTGAAAGTCAATGTCCATATCCGAACTTTCAAAGGACTTCGTGGAGTGTGTACTGGTTTCTTGGTTGCATTTGACAAGTTCTGGAACATGGTAGTGATGGTTCCTTCCTTTTATATGACTGTATAGCTTATTATTTGAATGTTTCAGACAGTCAGGGAAGTGTGTACATGTACATTTCCTTTGTATGTACATGGAAGAACATAAAGACTTTTTGATTGCAATATCTGTTTTTGTTCCTTAACTGTGCAACTTAATGGGAGTTTCTCAGTAGAGTTTCAAGCATTTCTTTAAGGTTGGTTATATCACTTAAAGCTTTGGATAATATTGCTTCTTCAAATAACCATGGATTAATAATATGATTTTTTGTGGGCTTTACTTCATTGTTTAATCCACTCTATCCTTTCACACACTATTTCTTGGTGCCAGTACAAAAGCGATATATGGTGTTTTTTGCAAAAGCAAAGAGGTGTCTTTTACAGGTTAAGTATAGATTGCAAGAATTATCCTATGGCCCTTAGACATCTTCAGAGGGTGATGATTATAGGATTATTCAGATTCCCATTTCTGAGGTCAGAGAGGGTGCTCCCTTGCTTCTGCATTCAGTGCAGAAAAACTATCCTAGCTGCTCTTTGGCATTGGGAAAGCAACTTCAGAAAGGGGTCAAAAGATATGTGGAGCTCAGAATATGAAGTAACCAGGTGGTACTCCAGGATCAATTCCCTCCAAAGCACCTCAGCTGGATGGCCAAAAACAGCTGTCTAGTGAAAATGCCAAGTGGGAGGTATAGTTTGCCTTTATCCTGTTCTGCATAAAATGCCCATAATCCTCCAAGTTCAGGAGCTTAATTGATTATATTCAGCACACATGTTAAAGAATGACTGTTATTCTGCAGTGGCAAAGCCGCTTTCCAATTAATCTTAAATTTCAGCAAAGATTCTGAGGGTAAAGTCATTTGCATATTTAAACAGAACAACCACCAACATGCTTTGGTCAACCCTAGCTAGGAACGTTCTAGTATCCAGGACCTGGGCTAAAATAAAGTATGGGAGCAATCCAGGGCCCAAGACCTCAGTACTTATATTATGCCTCCAGACTTGTAGGCTAAGACATCCAAGGCACAGAGCAAGGCACAGTGGTGGAGACCTTCCTTCTGACATTGCACTTTGCATTTCATCTAGACAGCTATTTTTTGTCATCTAGATGAAGCAGCTTGGAAGGGGAGGAAAGGAACTGTCTCAATACCTCACCTTCTTGCCCCACTCACACACCTGTTTTCCTTCTCTTTGAGGTCACTTTGCTACCTTTGAAACAGCTGGTGTGGTTGTTTCCACACTGTCTGCGTGGGTGGCGGGGATTCTTGTTCCAAGCCCCTGGAGCTGGAACTGAATAATTCAAACCACCCCCCTGATGATGGGCATAGAACTGTGCCCTAGATTTCAGAATGAAAAACTGAGGTATAGTTTAACAGTAACAAAACTGAAAAATTAAACTAGTTTTTTAGTTCAGTTCTAGTTCTGGTACCATTTAACAGTGCTTTTTACCTTAATACCTTTTTGTATAAAAGATGTACTTTTAAAATATATTTTAAAGGCACCCTGAACTCACCCTGGAATGAAATTACTGTGCAAACTTGCTGTAATAGCTCAACACTTCACAGGAGAAATAGGAAGGGGTCATGCAAATGTGTCTCAGTCAATTGGGAAAACTGGTGGTTTTAGGATCCTGATGAAGATGGCAAATATGGTCAGGAGCAGGAAGCAAAAATTTAGAATTGGGAAGATATTGAGACTTCCTCAATTCACCCACTCCGTAAGCTGTAACCATAGGCCAGCTGGTGGACCCACCAACTCCAGGTCACTCTCACTTTTCCCGCAGTGAAGAAACTCACTTAAAATGTCTAGTCCTCTAAAGTCACAGAGTTGGTCATCCATGCCTTCAGATCATGCAAAACATAAAAGAAAAGAAAGATGAGCATGGCATGACTCCTAAATAACATTTGGTACCATTTGCGCCTCTGACACTAGAGACTTTGGTAGCTAGAACCACCCTAGTGTCAACCTTTTCCTTATTACTGATGCTGGTTCTGCCACAGCTTCCAGACTGAATACTAGTTTATTTATTTATTATTTATTTATTAAAACATTTTTATGTCGCCCCATTTGCCGAGGCCTCGGGGCGGCTTACAACAATACTAGTTGCCTCAAATTCAGAGTGTGAGATAAGAGACTTGATACCTACCATCTCAGCATATAACCACTGACCCTCAGTATACCAGCTATTGAGTCAAATGCTCTCCAGCATGAATATCACGACTGGCGTCTGTGTCCACAACATCCTGTGCAAAGGGAGTGGTCATGATCTGCACTGTCAGAATGGGATTGGTGGTCAAAATAGTCTGTGCTTTATAGAAAATGTTGCTTTTGGGCTGAGTAGGATGCAGCTACTTAGCAGGACTTCCATTATGACTGAGGGAATGGGTGGTTTAGACATGCATGCTCGGACAGTGGGGGAGAGTTCCTGCCAAACCAGAACCCCTTACTATAGAAGTTTGCTCAAATGAGGCAGGTGCAGAACCCCACGGTGTGAATGCACAGGTGACTGATCATTCAGAGAACTGCAGGTAGCAGTAAACGACCTGTTCCTCCTTCCTTTCTTCACCCAGGTCCCAAAAGTTCTGCTACAATAGTATTATATAACACTGCAGCATATCTTGAGATTTTCTGGTTTTTTTGTTGCCCTAGGCCCTGACAGACGTAGATGAGACATACCGAAAACCTGTATTGGGCAAAGCTTTCTATGTTGAGCCACAGTTGACTCTCACTAGGGTAAGTATCCATTCTTCTGCTTCTTAGCTGGCTGATTAAAGTTTGCCACGTTCATTTAAACTATGAGCATATTGTCATGCATACTTTTAAAGAGCCACCTTGTTTAAAAAACTTCACTAGTTTCAGCAAAAGTAATTGGTTTCAAAAGAGGTTTCCAGTTAATCAGTTGCAGGCTGTAGTGCTAGCTCACTTTTGGCTAAATGGTTACTGCAACAAAAATGAATCTTGTTCTCTATCTTTACTCTTTATTTTGTAAAGAACTGATAGTTATTTTTGGAGGAGACACAAGAGTGGAAATCTTTTCTAGATTCTTGACCTCTTTGGGATATTCAATAAGGCTGCATGTTGAAACCCTGTAGGAGTTTAATCCCCCTTTTTGTAGCCTCTTCCTTTCCAGTGCCTTAATCTAGAGGCTCTCAATTTGCTTAGCTGGTACACTTTAAGAGGCTTGGCCATCCACTGATACTAAAAGAACTAGGATTTTCCCTCCCAAATTGTTGGAATCCACAGTACCCATAGCTGCAAAGCACAAATGGAAGAGTCATCTTGCAGTCATGTGTTGGCGGGCATTTTATAAGCATCTGGTTGGCCCCAGAATGCTGGGCTAGGTAGGTTTTTGTTCTGACCCTTTCTCCTGTATAGAAACAGAGCAAGTCAGAAGGGGCCTTCCAGTGAAGTTCACTCATCAATATACTTGTAGCTAGGCTTGGGATTGAAAGTCAAACTGGTTACCAGGATTCCACACATGCTGGCTTGGTGCTTAGTTATCCATAAGAATTCCCTTCCCTGAGTCCTGTGAACTAGGGAAAAGGTTCTTTAGCTGTCTTCCAGGTCTTTCCAGAATGTGTCACAAGCAATTCTTCTCTGTTGCTGCCTTCTGCAAAGTCCTGTGGAAAGGAGAAACCATCCTTCTTTCCTCTTCAGTTTTTCCCTGGAGGAAACAGAGAGCAATTTCTCACTCTTCCCATTGGGAGTGGCTGGAGATGCTGTTGTCAGTGCTCTTTGCAAAGCCCTGCCTTTGGATGAGAACCAAAGCCCTTCCTCCCCAGAGTTCTCCATGAAGGAAAAGCTGGGCTTTTGTTGGAAGTGCAGAGGTCCTTGCCAAAGTGGAAAGGACGCTTGCCACTGGTGAGTAGGCAAGTGGGTTTATAGAAGCTTGCTACTTACTAGCCATGGTGATGGTGTAAATAACTTTCAGTGGTGGCAGAATGGTTTGACAGTAATTCTGTTGATCTGTGAAATTCACTTACACGCTGTTCTAGAGCATGGTCTAGATGAAACATTCCTGTGTGGGGGGCAACTTGAGAGAATAAATACTGGTTCTTAATCGGTGAATGCGTATAAAGGGGCTTAGGCAGACCCCACTGCACACCTCAAGACGATATAACAAGCTTTGTGGGGCCAAGTGGGCAGGTCCTGCTGCTGATTTTATTATTTAGTAACAGTGACTGAGCAAGGCAGAGCTCTTGCGGTTGTGGATGGGTCAGTGAAACTGTTGACCCAGAGTGTGCCTGCTGCAAAAAAGGTCAAACTACATGTTGGGTATAGTTAGGAAAGGACCTGAAAAGAAACCTGCCAATACCATACTCTCCTTATACACATCTATGGTGAGAATGCAGTGGGCAGTTCTGGTCATTGCATGTAAAAAATTAAATCATGTTTGAAATAGTGCAGAAAAGGGGAGCTAAAATGATCGAGTGGTTAGAGCAACTTCCCTGTCAGGAAAGGTTGCAACATCTGGGATTGTTTAGCGTAGAAAAAAGCAGGGTGGATTTGATTTAAATCACTAGTCGGTAAGACTAGATTTAAATCATGGTTTTCTATATAATGTGTGCACATGCTAGCCTTACCCGTAGGTAGAGGAACTTCATTAAAATATTTCCAAACCAAATCTCTTTTAATGGCCTGCTGCTATTATTTATTTATTTAAAGCTTTTCTATCATGTCCTATTACAAAAAGTCTCAGGACAGTTAATTATTGGTTTTCTCTTCCAGGGAAAGAATGTGATAAACCTCAGGCTATACACAAAAAGATTCAAAGACTTGTGGAGTATTCTGCTCAAATGAGTTCACTTTCATTTTCCCTGTTTGCCCCTCCCTCCTCACACTTAACTTCTTGTGCAAATTTATTCCACTCACAATAATCTTCTTCTATTCATCAATATTTTTTTTGAAACTTAACCCTTAAGAGGTAAGGGGTTGATTCTGTGTACATAGTTTTCCAAAGGCACAATGGAAGTAAGGTCTATTTCTCAACTCAGTATGTTTATTTTATAATATTTTTGCTGTGAAAAAGAGACGTATGATCTCTGCAGACAAAAATTAACAGTTTTGAGAACTGTAGAACCAAGCTTCTGTGACAATATCTTCTAGATAGAAAATAATCTTTCCAAAACCTCTGGAAGAGCCTAACATTGTGAATGAGTTAATGTAATTCATTTACCGATAATTTTATACATTGCATGAATATACAGACTCATGCTACATAATTAAAACCTAATTCTTATTTCATGATGAGTAACCTTTGGATTATAATGTGTCTTAAAAAGGAAACCATGTTTTTTCCTCAAAAAACATTTTATTTAAAAAAAACTCAATTTAAATTAAAAATCCATTTTAAAAAATCTTTGATTTTTATCCACCCTGCAAAAAAGGCGAGTAAGGGGGAGAGATGATAGAGATGTACAAAAATATGCATTGTGTGGAGAAAGTGGATAGTGACATTTTTCTTTGTCATAATACTAGAACCTGGACTCTTCCTGTGAAACTGATTAATGGTAGGTTCAGGGCAAATAAAAAGAAGCACTTTTTACATGATGGATGGATAAACTATGAATACACTTTTGCAAGATGCAGTGGTAGCGTGTAGGAAGTGTTTAAGAAGGGACTGGATAAATTCATGGAGGAGTAGGCTATCAAGGGCAGTAGCTCTCTCCATTGAGAGAGGCAAATTGCCCATGTACAGCAATTCCTGGGGAACATGGGTGAAAAGATGCTGTTGTACTCATGAACAGAATGCTGGACGGGATGAATCTATAGTATAATCCAGCATGGCTCTTTTACATTCTTAATAACAATTTGTCACAAAGCCAGGGTGGTTATATGCATAGCATGTAGGAAGTATATGAGACATGTATGGTCATGCACAGTGCTTTTTTTTGTGTAAAAAAAAAAAAAACGATGTCAGAACTCGGTGGCAGTAAGCACACACAGGAGCAGCTATCTCTCACTATCAGCAGATAAAATAGCAGCCTGCAGGCACTATGTTAATGATGTTTGCTGCTGATCTGCTACACCAAAAGCACTTTGTAAAATCCATTGAAAAAAGGTGCCGGAATGCCGTTCCAGTGCGTTCTATGACAAAAAAAGCCTTGGTCATGCATATAAAAACACAGGGTGAGTTTTAAATGAAAAGACACCTTTTAATACTGTATGTTTTTCCTCCCATATCCAACTGTTTTCCTTTAGCTATTTGACAGACTCAAGCTGCAAGAATCTTTGGTTAAAAAAGGGAATGATTCAAGGATGACAGCAGACCTGACAGACCTCCAAGACACTCCTAAGACACATGGGTGGAAGTCGGAGTCAGGCTGGGGAAGATCCGAGGAAGAACATGGAACAAAAAAGCACTCTAGTAGAGAGAGGACACGGAGCTCTAGCTTGCCTCGAACCTCTAAGAAGGAGGCTGACCTTCCTGGAAGAATCTCCCAAACGGAGGGGAAGAGTGCAGCTGGCACAAGAAGTCGATCAAGGAAAAAGCAAAGGCCCAAAGTGGATTATCAGCAAGTTTTCACACGGCATATAAACCAGATTTTTATTCGTGGGGAGAACGTCTTGCTTGTTCACCTAGCACATTGATCTGATAGACTGACCTTGATCAAGAAGCAGAGTGAACAGCAATGACAACTGCGTGTTGAATTGCGCATCATTTTGAAACAATGTGGTATAAATTCTTTCCCCCTTCCTTTGATCAGAAGGGAGAAATGGTAATGGACTTTGGAGGCAGGTACAGCTTGAGCCAGTTGCCAGCCTTGATGGACTAGATCTTGGCCCAAGGACGTTTCTGTCTTCAATGAAATAGATGTCTTACAGCTTGAAGGACTCATGTCCTGTGGACTATTCAACATTGTGAGCTTGGATATAGGACAATTATCACTATAGATTTAAGGCCTCACAAACTGGCCACAAAAGAACTAGGGATTTTGGTGACTTAATGTGGAATGCTAGTAATTTAAAATCATGGCAAAGCATGTTTTTAAAAATGATAAGGGGATTAAGAGCTTGTGGAATGGAGGAATGTCTTTAGCAGCTCTAGAATGGATGCTTGGTATAATTCAGCATGACACTTCTTATTCTTGCTTGGACCTCAGCCCTCCTATCAGTGTGCAAGGCAAGACAAAAAGAGGTACTCCAGAAGTGAGCTGCAGTGCCCTCTGGTGTCTTGAACAAAAAGTGAATGGAAATGCAAGTAGGAGGTAGAATAAAAGGCAGTATTTGGCCTTTTCTTCCGTATCGATAAAGCCTGTGGACTTAGCCCATCTTTCTTTTTCCCTGGCCACCAGCAGATGGTGAATGTAGCTCAATACGTAGCTTTTCTGCTTGGGAACTTGTCTTGATGTATGTTGAAACAACCCAGAATTTGCCATCCAGTCTCTGACAGTTTTTTCATATATTTGTGCGGTATAGCAGTAAAGACTAAGATGATGTATATGCACTGCTTAAATAAGAAAAGATCATGTTCGTGTTTGTCATAGTCTTACATGATCTAAGTGACTTTGAGATGCAGATTTCCCAGCATCTGATGGTAACAGCGGAGAATGGTTTGTTTATGAAATTTCTGAGGATTTTCCTGACTGTTTCTACATCCTAAGTGACACTTCTGTAATGCTAATTGGATTGTTCCTGCAAAGCATGTTTAAGGCTATTTATAACGCGTGCATGATGATTATTTAGAAAATCAGTGCTATTAATGATTTCTCCCTTATCATTCAGTAGTCCTCAGAAGAATTGTGCAAGATATTACAACAACGCATATGTATAACATGACTGCCAAGAGAAATTTTACGGTGCTATATAACAGTGCCCTTTTTTTACAAGGAGTGTGTGTGTGTGTGTGTGGCACTCCAGTTTCTGGATATTACTCCGGTTGCGTGTCTGAGAATGCAGTGAATATTCACTAACCCTGAATTGTATTGGGAGGCATTCTTAAAGTCTCCACAGAAAAGGGGGGCTTCTCTAAAGACACAAGCAATAGGTTGCCTTTTTATATATGTGCATTTCTAGAATAACCAAGAATCTTGTCGTGAATGAGGTTGCATTGGATGTAGCTCAGTTCATTTTTTTCCAGGCTAAATATATCTATCTATATCTAGACGGACGGACAGACAGACAGACATATTTAAGGTCTGAGTGCAAAGCCTTTGCACCACTTCTCTGCCCCATTCAAGGGTGGCAAAATGGTGGTGGGGAGTTACCTAATCTTGGTGGGGTTACCTTGCTACTTTTTTCCATCCAGTCTCAAAGAATATGTTCCTCTGAGACATTCTTGACTTCTGCTCTGTAGCTCTTTTCTTCTCACAGTAGAGATAATGACTCAGTGCTCCAGGAGCATTTCTTAAGCATAAAATGCTCACTTAGATCCCACTTCATTTTAAATAATTGTTTTCACTTTTCCATCTTCAGAAGGGTAGATCCCATGTCTGTATTCTGGAGCTTTTCACTGTTTTTGCATACTAGTTCAGAATATGAGGGTTCCCCAAACACAGTTTATTTCATGCCCATGTGATTTTCTTTCAGCGATCAGTTTCCCACTCCAGGCGAAATGCATTCCTTCTTACTGCCTTCCTGTGTTTTTTAATTCTAAAGCTGAATGTGCAGTTTGTTGACTGGAGTCACTTTCTTTGCTTCAGTCACAGCTCTTTGCTGAGAAGGCGGTTTTTACTGATTTTTGACATCTTAGCCAATGTTTTGCTATACTTTGTTCAGCAAAAGCCCGCTTCTTTCAGTTTACTACCTCAAGCTAACGCTCACTGCTGCTGCTTTTGTTTTTTGGAAACCTTTCCAATCGTTATTTGAATGCATGAGCTTTACTAGAGGCATCAAGTTCCCCAGCTAGCAAAAGCTGTTCATTAATTTCAGCAGAATGAAATGGCCATTTATACAGAGGCATGTGTGTGGGTGGGGCGATTTTGTGCATCTTGGTCTTCATAGATAGTTGCAATGGTCAATTCTTTTGCTTTAAAACCCAACCCTGCCTTACACTTCTCTTTAAATTGCCTCTAACCCAGTTATTGATTTTCTCAGCATACTCTGGATCTGATCTCTCTTTCCTCTTCTGCTCTGTGTGCTTCTCTTCATGAAGTTTCTAAGATACCATAATTACATAACATTTTAGATGATTAAATATTGCTAAATGCCATTAGTAGGTCTGTTGATATAATTAATTAGCATTTATCTCATATCACCAACCTTGTTTCCAACTTTGAATTCTTATAAATACCTTGTGAATTTTTCTTCTATTGTTACTTGAAACCTCTAGATCAAAGGTGCTAAGTTCAAAGTGTTTTTGAAGTGTCGTTTTGCATTTGGAATTTGTCTTGTATAAGAAGTACTTGGATACATATGTACAATTCCCTCTCCTACACCAATCTCTGCAACTAAACTCAGGACATTTTTGCATGAAAACTATGTATTCTTTATGTAATTCCCTGTCTTGCTGCCTGTTCTCCAAAGTTGCAAAGTGTAGCTTCAAAGCATAGGGGTAAAATAACTCCCAAAGTATAATAACCTCAGAAGCCTGTTCAAGGTGTTTGGAAAGCACCTGAGCATGTGAGTGGGAGAAGGAGCATGCCATAAAGATCTTAGCCTTGATTTTGGCATAAGTCCTTTTCCAAATATTCCATACCTGAATATTCCTGAGGTAATAACAGACAAATGCTTATATTGTTAAGTGTTACTCTTCCAGGTTTATCTCTCAGTTAATCTTTAGCCAGGTTGATATTTATGGATTCATCCTTCATCCAGCTGTTAAAAGTATTAAATAGCTAAATGTGACATAGTAAAACAGAAAAGGCTTGTGATGTGGCATGGAATGGAATGCAAAATGGCTGCCTCCTTGTTCTCTTGCTCTTTACTTTGCTCTATGTGGAAAAGAACTTGTGAAGGAAATGTGAAATGTCAAGTTGTCTGTCAGCTCAAGTTTTCAGCAGTACTACAGCTTCCAGATGGAAGCTGCTAAAAAGTGATTCTGCAGGGCAATGTTTCATTTGACAGGTTTGACATTTGGAAACTTTTTCACAGAGCAGATGCGAAGGGTAACTGCATTATTTTCAGGTTATATGAGGATCTTAAAATGAAGACTTTTCATGTTGAAGACCTGCTGTTACTTTTAAGCAATTTCGTATGTACTGTAATGTTGCTGATCTTCCTGCTATTATATGGGGATGTAATTCCTAGCTCAATGGTAGCGCAAAAGTGCATGTTTACACTAGTGTCCATAAGAATATATGTCAACAATTCATTGTTCATACCATGCAGCTCACACAGCACACTCTGGAAGTGGTTGAAGCAGATTTTGATTCTGTTTCCCAAGATTGTAAGGCGAATCTCACTGGGGGGATTCAACAGAATCAAATTTCAATTCAACCTTGGTGGAAGCTCTTCCTCCAAAGGCCGTGGAGGCAGAGGCTCGCTTTCATGGAGAAGTGATGTGAATAACTTGTTTTCTGATGTATACAAATCTTCTGCTCTTAGCTGACAGGTAGAAACTTGCCAGGAAAGGAAAAATGGCTAATGATGCTTCTGGATACTTTTATTCACCACTCAACATGGAGTAGGCTAACTTAGCTGAGGGAAAATTAGTACACCTGAGACTCTGTCAGTGTTGTATTCTTTCAGAGTGAAAAGTAGCTTGATCAGGCTGTGTAAAAACATATCTACTCTGTTTCTTCCCCATTCTCAAAAGATTGGCATTCTCCCTCAGGAAAAAAAGAACATGAAAGCTGCTCCAGGCTCCTTTAGTAATTGTGTTTGATGTTTACTGCTTCAGAGCAAAGTGCAGCTGAATCTTTGTATCTTATCCTTGATAGATCAATTTTTAAGTCGACAAATGGAAAATGCTCACCCAGCATTGTTAGATATTTTTCTAGCTAGCTGCACTGCTGGTGTTGCTTGCATGCCCAGTGTAATTGTATAGACTAAGCCTCAGTGTCTAAGGCAGGTGAATGATCTGCACTGCAGGTTTGAACTGGTTTTAGGAGGGTGGTTTTCCCTGATTAATGTTCGGAACTGTTGTTTTGTGACTGAAGTCACATTGAACTACGGTTCCCAACTTTCCTTGCTTGGGAGCCTTGACAGGGTCAAAACTGGCTTAGATTTGTAGTGCAGGTTATAGCCATTGGGTATGATTCCTTCATGCCTTTGTTTGCTGTGTTCCTTTTTTTCTGTCTGAGTTCCTCTTTGTAAAATGCTCCATTACCTTTTTAGGCTTCCATCTTGACACTTTGGAGAGGTAACAGGAATCACTAACTTAATTCTGTGAGCAATGCAAAACTCGGAGTTCGCTGCAAGTGCATGTCTTACCCGTTAGACTACTTGGGAATAGAAAGAATGTGCAAGTTGCTTCCAAATCTGTCTTCCTGAGTATTTTATTACTAAGAAGGAATTGCTGCTATGAACCTATCAATGAATGTATAACTCGTTTTTGATTTTCTGTTTTGCTTGATGGATGTAAATATCTGTATACAAAGGGGTTCAACCTCTAAGGCAATAAAGATGTTCATAGGTTGTCCCTGAGTTATTTCTGTTAGAGCCTGTGCTGGTATTTTTGGTTGTTGGAATTTTTTTTATCCCATCTTCCTGCAATATCATACGACATAGTAAAACTGTATTGAAAAGCAAGCTGCTTAAAAAGCAGGAGCAAATGAATAGAACAGCTGGCTTAAACCAGCTGCCATCACCCAGATGCAGAAGAATACAGTCATCTTGAATAGCCAAAGGCCTATCCAAACAAACAGTAGTCTTAGCAGAATAGATCAGCCCTTGATTTATGACGATCTAATCAACTAAAAGCTGCCTATTTTCTACTGAGTGGCTTAGTCTTCTGCAAATGGGGCTAATGCTTATCGAAATGCATTTGGAAGAGAGAGGGAATCCTCCAAATGGTTCCATAACTTAAGTAGAAGGGCTACATTTGGGATGGAAAGAATTTGGGGTCTGGCAGCAGATTTGGTCCTTAAGATTTTTGTGTTTATTTCTTTAAAAGGTGAAGGTGTGAAAGAAAATAGAAGCAGAGGTTAGAGACAGAATGCTTCCTGCAAAATATATTCTTTGCAGATTGGTAGGTAGCAAAAATCAGGTCAAGGAGCCTGAACAAAATGCCAACCCACTCATGGAGAAAGAAATATCCCTACCTTTCTTATTCCAGATTGCTTCTGGGTGAAAACCAAGGCTTTTTTCCCTGCAGAACTTAAAATGAACAGAATCTCCCTTTTCTTGCCAAGTCCTTTTTGGGTCTATCACATAAGCATTTTTATGTTGGTTGCTGGGCCCAATAAGATTTTTTTTCTCCGTGCTGATTAGTAGGTAGTACACTATTCTGTGATCTTTTGTAGTTTTTAAAGGATACTTTTAAGTTTTTGCTGAGTTTGGGGATAGGTTATTTTCCTTTGTGTGTACTTTTATTAAAAAGTGATGGAGTAGAGTGACCCTGTGACCCCTAGAGAGTGCTTAAAGGGACATCAGATCATTTGGATTATCCGATTCAATGTTGGGAAAACAGCTCCAAAGTGGAGTTGAAGCCCCCTCCCCACAAGGCAGCCAGCACAGAAGGGACCTCATCAGCTGTGTCTATGAAGTCATGAGACCAGTTGCAGAGAAGGGACACAGAAGGTATTGGGAAGTGGGCAAGCAGGAAACGAATCCAAGAGTACCACGATATTTCCGATTGTGGTGACACACTTGTCTCCTTTCCTCTCCCATCTGAAATGCTACAACCAGATGGCCAGAATCAGATGTTGATTCTGCCTCTTACAAAATGCTCAAGATCCTCTTGAGTTCAGAGGGCTACAGGCAACCCCACTGGATTGTCCAGTAAGAACATGCTTTCCTTTCAGTGACCAGCGACGTGGTCTAGGCTGAAATTCAGGGATGCTGGATTTTTTAAAATGACACTGCTGCTGCTGCTGCTGATACTATTCAATGTATAGACCACTTACCATAGCTAAAAACAATGTTTCCTAGTTCACAATACAAAAAGTTTAAACACAGAACAGTCAAAACCTGTGAAATTGAAAACAGTTCAATCAGCAGCACAGTCAATCAGGAAATGTCTGGGTGAGCAGAAGGCCTTTCAACTGGCTCCTTAAAGCTTGCCAGAATTGGCATCTCCCAGATACTGGGTGAGCGCATGCTGCAAGGTCGCCACCACCAGCAAGACCTTTCCTGAAGATCTTGACATGGGACTGTCAGGAAAGCTGACCTGCTAGCCAGGTAAGCTGGTTCCAAGTGTTCGGGGTGTTTCATGCTCAGCAACAAGACTGTGAGCCTGTCTCCTCGGCTGCCAGGCAGTTAGATGTGCTTCCATATCGACTCCTCACGCTCACTGTCACAGTTTGCACCAGCTTCCGTGTCTAGACCATGGGCAAGAATAGGACCATAGACAGTGTACTGTACTCCAATAACCTAAATGTGAGGTTAGCAGACCATGGATTACACATTATTACCCACAGTTTCATCTATTCTCTGGCTTTTTGTTTTTACAAAATGGAGACAATATTTTTTCTCAGCAAAACACGTAGGACCCAGTCATGCTAAAATCCCACTGAATGTTGAATGGTTAATGGTTTGCACCATCACTTTGATAATGACAGTGGGGTCAGGGCCACTGTTTCTAATGTTTGATACCACATAAAGGGATTTTGGTTTGCCTAAATTTTCAGTTCCTCCCTCACTGTTCATCTGTATTGGTTCTTTCTTTAGCACCTCTGGAACCAATTCATGTTTCTCTCATGTTTCAGTTATGTGGCTCATTTCGGAGTCATTTTTTTCTGCAGTTTGTAACTTTGAATGTTATAAAACCTTCAACAGCTAGTCTATGATGTCTACTATCATTATTTCTAATACTGTATTACATAGAAACAGAGAAACATAGCAAGTTAGAAGGAGTCCCCTGGGCCATCTAGTCTAACCCTGAGCACAAGCCAGCTCAGCTCATAAAATGTCCAACAGTGGAAAATTTCCCTTACTCAGAGTCTACTGCACATAGGCAATAAACCTCCAGACAGGAGCCAGTGCTGTCATTCTGTTAGCAAGCTACAGCTCCCAAACTATGTGCAGGAGGAAAATCCAACCGAAGTTACCTTTGTGCACTAGCTCTGTTGTGCAAACTGTCCCACTTGAACAACCCACCAAGCAACAGTTTAATGTAACAATGAATGCACCACTGCTTGTGCAGCAAAAGGATTTGGTGGAGCTCTGTAAGTAGCATTTGCCTTGTGGGAAGACGCTAGTAAACAATCCTCCATTTGGACTGTGCTGCTTCACAGTTATACGTCGAATGTAACAAGAATAATAGAAGAGGGACAAATAGAAAGCTAACATGTTAGGATAAACTATTTTAGCCATCTCCCCAACATGGTAAGGGATTCTTTTTCATTGTGTGGTATATGCCAGGCCTGTAGTCCCAAGCGGCAAAACCATTAGGCTTGTGGCATCAGGCTTCATATGTAGCCAGCTTGTGCCCTATACCCAAGGCACGTGCTAGAACTTCGAATCCCTTGTTACCTTTGCTGCTGGATGAAAGGCACCAGAATATCGAAAGCTGGCACTGACTTGGTTCGCACTGGTTGCTGGCCCCATTTGTCCCTCATTAGCTTGCCATGATACATGAACTATGCACCAGGCCTCCTTGAGAAGCCATGGCTTGTTGATGGGTGACTTGTTCGCAGAGTGGCTTATAGTGATGTGCAAACCCAGCATGATGGCTTGTGCCAAGAAGCTACAGAGCTGCTTGGAAAGAGTAACAGCAAACTGCTTTTCTGGCTGCCTTGTGACCTCACTAAGCTGAACATCAGGCTTGCCACACACATGTGCCTGAGCCCCATTTGTGTCTGTGGTCGCGGTGTGCTCTGTGCGAATGGGAGTGTTGTGCAAATCCGGCAGCGGTTGACAGTGAAATTTGGGCAGACTCCTCATTTGCAGGCCTTTTCTCATTAATCAATGCCAATGCTTAGTGCTAATACATAATACTAATATATAATTATGTGTATATAATTATATAATTATGCTAATGCTAATGAGTATTACTTAATGCTAATTTGTGCAGCTCTCCCCAAAAGTGATTTAAAAAGTTTAAAAGTACAAATCTCCCCAATTCCACAATTTCACACCTTCCCCATATTTATATATAAGTGTCAGTTTCTGAAACATTCTTTCCACTTACCCGGAAATCTACTAAACACCGATGAACTGGATTGAACAAAAGAGTGCTCTCTAAAGGGAAGGCCTCAGCAATTATGGGTGTCCTATAAATACGTGTGTGTGTGTGTGTGTGTGTGTTTGTAACAAACGAGCAAGTGTGCCACAAAGGACACTGGGATCCATGATGACCAGAGCAGATGGGAGAACCAAGGGGAAACCGAACCATGGCCTACTGATCATCGGCATCAGGATGTGTTTGTGCTGGATTAAGCAGCTCACCATGCTTTGTGGTCTGGGTGGCTTCTCGTGGCTGCCCACTGTAACCTACTTGTTGTGTACTTCAGGACTGATATCCCTTTCCTTGCTGCCAGCTTTTTCAAAGACAAAGGTCCAATATCCAAAGTTAGTTCTGCTGTAGTCTTTCAGGCTGTCCACTAGATGGCAATAGTTTAAAGAGAATTTACATTCTGCTCATCTGGCAAGAAGCGTCTCCATCTTCCTGCGTAGTTTATATAGAAGATGGGCAAAAAGGAAAGGGGTCGGATGAAATGCAGATGTTTGTCCCAGCAAGAAGCCCAGTGAAAGTAGAAAGAGCGAAGCTTGTGGAAGTGCTGGGTAGAAGTACTGCTTTTTCTGCATATGATTCTAAGCGAGTTTAATTGGCTCTGAACACACATAGCAATGACATCTTTCAGTTCTGTATCCTAAAAGGTGGATGTTTCATCAGAGACTCTTTGAACAGAGCCTAAAAGGGGACAGATTGGCACTAGGTCACTAGGGAACCTGCTAATTAGAACTAGCCTTTTGCAAACATTTCAGCTGAAACCTCAGATGTTTAAGACCACTCACTAGATATCTTTTGTACATCCTTTCACATGTTCCTCCCACACAATCCCATCCGATTCAGGAAGGGCAGAAGAAGGGGCAACTCCCATTCCAGCTCCTCAGTGAGCGTTCATAGCTTTGCATCTATTGAAACGAGCTGGAGGCTGGCCCTGGGTGATTTTTGTGAGATGTTTGAAGGACCTTCTTGTGTGCCACGCAGAGCCTCTTGTCCCCTGATGTAAAGCAGTAGCTGAGGCAGTGGTACCCAACCTTTTTGGCAAGTGGATCATCCATGAAGGCTTCGGGCTGAGATAATTTCATGCACCCTGCAGTGCAGGGCCTTTGGAAGGCCAAACAAAATTGACCGGTCTTGAAAAAGACACATGTTGCAATTCTGTCTGAATTAAACCAAAACTGACAGCTTCTTGTGTACTGAATCCTTGGCTGTTATTATGGGCTCCTGACCAGTTCATGAGCATGCAGATTTTTGTCTAAACATCTCACCCAAGGATTTCCTTATGCTGTGAGGCAGTCAGAATTAATT